GCAGGCGCTCTACCACTTGAGCCACAACGCCACTTCCAGTTTTCTGGTGATTTATGGAAGAGTCTCATGAACTTTCCTGCCCAGGTTGGCTTTGAACCGTGATCCTCGGATTTCAGCCACCTCAGCAGCTAGTGAGCCACCAGCACCCGGTTTTATTAATGGCACTTTTTAAAACCTGGGAAAAAAGTAATACTTTACATCCACTATTAACTGCTTTATCAGAAATAGTTGTGCAGCTTGCAATGAGGTATGCATGAAGAAGGGCATCATTAGGCAATTTTGTTATCAAGTATTATTATGTGCTTACACAAATTAAGACAGCTACAAGGTCATACATTATACAACAGTCACACACGCACATCCTATTAGATAACACATTACGGTAACAGGCATGTCAATATTATTCTCCCTTTCTCTAACAAGTTTATCAATATGCCAAATTACAAACTATAATCCCCAGCCTCCCCTGTAGCTAGATATGACCCTATGCCTAAGGCCTAACCATTAAGGTATAGATGTAAGTTCATGTATGGGACTTTCTTTGAAGAACAGAATACATTCTTGGCCCTTTTTTTCTGGTCCTGGGGCTTGAACTCAGGGTCTGGGCACTATCTCTGAGCATCTTTGTCCTCAAGGCTACCACTCTGCCACTTGAGTCACAGCACCACTTCCAGCTTTTTCTGAGTATTTTATTGGAGATAAGAGTTCTTATGGACTTTCCTGTCTGGGCTGGCTTTGAACCATGACCCTCAGATCTCAGCTTCCTGAGTAGCTAGGATTACAGGTGTGAGCCACCGGCGCTTGGCCCCTTTGCCCTCATTGTTCTTTTTGCTGGTAAAGGGAACTTAAGATATGTGAAGCTTGGGCAGCCAGACTGGATCATGAGCTGATGTGATAGAATGAGAGATGAGCCAAAAAGGACTGTGTTCCCAGAAGCTAGAGCCACTGGCCGAGTGCTGGACTGCTTCTTCTGAACCTTGTTTAAATTTCTACGGCTTTCAGTTTTCTGTGACATGAGACCAAGTCTAGCTGATTAAAGACATTTGCTTTAGAGAAGACTCCATGCTAGACACTACAGGGGAGACAAAGGTTTGCAGCACTTAAGTCACACACTTGGGTAAGATGGTTCTGTGTCCTGATAGAAAAGAACAGAAGAGCTTGGCAGGACCACATAGGCAAAAGTAGAGTTCTGGAAGGAGGCAGGGAATGTGACAGAAGCTTGAACTCTAAGGTAAAGAGGTTGGAATCCGCCCTTTGACAGATAAACTTGCCCACACATAGGACTTGTCCAAGGTCACCCAGCCAGAGAGTAGCAAGGCCAATCTCAGTCTTCCTGATAGACACCAAGTCTAGTACCATCCCATAGTCCCAGGCTGCCTCCTAGACAACCTGGAGCAGAAGCAGGAGTGAAGGTGTTATGTGACAATGTGTAAGATCTCTTCCACTATGCATAAAGGCACCAAGTGTAGCTTTTAACAGAAATATTTCACGTGAGTTCCCTCCCCCACAGTATAACCCCTGCTTTCATTATATTTGATGTCAGTATAACTTGTGGAGGAGATGGGGAAAAACCAGTTGTTTAAGGATACAGGTGGACCTGTTTCAACAATGAGAAGTACAAGTTGTCATGTCCAAAACGAGCTTTACAACGTCGGTGGGGGGGGGGGGGGGGGGGGAAAGGAGAAGGATTGGGGGGGAGGGGGAGGCTGGGAAGGGATGTGAAGGGTAAACAAAGGAGGAGGCTGCAATGCTTGATAAGAAATGTACGCATTATCCTGCCCATGTAATTGTAACCCCTCTGTACAGTATGTTCACAAATAAAAATAAATTAAAAAAAAGAGAAATATTTCACGTGAGAGCTCTACTTTAGTTACCATTTGTAAGACATCTCACTTAGTTTGATGGTTATCTCTAGAAAACTTGCTGAGATCCTGGAACAATTTAAAAGCCATCACACACATGAGAATATACACACATAGTCACCTGTCTTGTTCAGATTTTAAATAGGTCTAAGCTAAGGTTTAAACTATATTACTACAGCCAATGCCGCTCTTTTCACTGCAGTACTAGCTAACACTGTTGTTGGTAACAGAATAGTACTAGTTTGGCAACAGTGGTCAGTCAGGAGGTGTGGCTCAAGTGATAGAAAGCCAGCAGAGGCTCTGAGTGTGAATCTCAGTACCACTCCCTTCCCCCAAAAAGTTGACAGATACTCTATGAGGTTTCTTAGAAGGACAACTTCAGTGTTTTGTTCTTGCTTCATTGGGGCTACAGAATCACCCATTTATAGCTAACTGGTGCCCAAGGGCTCCCCTCCAAAGTCTGAGTTCTTCCATACTCACATAAGTCCTATACTTTTTTTTTTTAACAGTTCCTACAATTTCAGTATATTGGAATTCAGTTTCATCAAAACACCAACCACACTTAATAGTTTAGATTGGTTTTATTTGTATACAATTTTAGTTTTAGATAAAGGGTAGGAACTTACACATTTAATGTTTGTATATTTATATTAAATATCATCCCAAAAAACAACCAGAGATCTGATTTTCTTAACCTGGTACAGAAATAGTTCCTTGGCTCTAATTTCATGAAGAACCCAGCTGTTTACCTATGTTTTTGAGTCAATGGCTAACCAGCCATAAAACTCTGAAGCTGAATACTTTGGCTTTAATTAAAAGGCCAACTGGGTACACAGACTGTAACCCAATTTTTTTAGGTTGCTTATCTTTTCTTCCAAATGGAAGAAACAGGTGATTTGGCTCCCAGGAACATGTAAATGACTTTGCATATTTCCCTCCCGGGTAGGGCCAGTATCCATGCCACAGGCACTCAACTACCTACAGAAGTTTCAACTCATGAAAGGACTTCATATCCCCAACACACTCTGGCTGGTATTAGTTACAGCAGCTAAAACCAAGGGACTTGAAATAAATGCTCAATGTACGTAAACACTAAAGCCACCCTCAATTCTTAAGAACCACACTAAGCTGTTCCAATTAAAAGCACTTACATTCTAGAAATCAATACTCCAGTTTGGCGATGTATTAAGAAACCTATGGAAGAAAAATACTTAGTGTACAATGGTGTACTAAGTCAAAATTGAGTTGGATTTCAGTGTTTAAGGCAAGACACTATAGAAATGGATTTGTTTTCTGAGTTCTTAAATCCCAAGCAATAATGGACTTTAAGAATAAGTAATAAATATAATAATTTTAACAACATCAACAGGAGATACTTCAGGATACTGCTAAGAGTAATCATTAAGCTGTATGATTTATTTGTAGTGTTTTTGCTTCAAAAATCCTTCCTTCTAGACTGGTGTATTGGCCCATACCTAAAATCCCAGCACTGGAGGGGAGAAGGATGAGGTAGAAGCCATCAGTTAAAAGGCCAATCTGGGCTACGTAGCAAGAGGCCATCTCAAATAGTCTTTCTTTCTACAAAGCATCAAAAATATCAAATTTTCACTGGGATATTCCTAAATAATGTGGTAATTTGGACAAATAAAATGTTACTGCTGATTTCTTGCCTTTCTTCAGTTACTTTACAGGTAATATAATCTACTTAAGAAGTTAACAAAGTTGAGAGAACTTCTACATTGGATTTAGAGCACCAAGTCCCAGGGAATGGATGCAATCGTAAACATAAACTCTTACAAAATACAACTGTTACACTAAATAATAATCCAGTAGTTTAATTCCTAAGAAAAATTGTTGGAACTTCTATTTAGAAAAGAAGTTATCATGGATTTTTCTCATTTCTTAGTCACATGTACTAAAGAAGGCAAAACAGCAGAAATTCTCATGATATGAAGAGCAGGCACCAGCCCAGATAAATATAAAGGCTCATGTTTATTGGTATTTCTGAAACATTTCTATCAGCAAAATACTACAAATGATTTAACAAATATTTCCATTTGCACAAAAACCCTGATCAACTAAAATTAGTTTAAAAAGGAGGGTAGAGGGAGGCAGGGGCCCCCTAAAATCTGTAATTCCAGCAAATACAGATGGAGATCAGGGAAAATACTGATTTGAGACCAGCCTGGCTAAAAAGACATAAGAGACTTCAACTCAACAAACAGACCAGGCGGTGGTGGTACGAATCTGTCATCTTAAGCTACAGGGCAAAGCGTGGCTCTGCAGCGTGGCTCAAATGGTAGAGGCACCTGCCTAGTAAGACCTTGAGTACAAACTCCACCCAACACTACAAGAACTAAGAATACTTGTAAAAAAAAAAAAAAAGTAAGCACCTTTAGAAAAAGTAAGAAGCTTTGGATTCCTAGTCACGTACCACCAACCTTTGTAATTTTAATCAAACAATAGATGGGAACGAATCCCACCAGCTATCATTTATTTAGGCCAGGGAGGAGCGGTACACTATACAATTATTCACCTAGAAGGGGGAGAGGGGTGGAGGAGGACAAATATGGGTACTACCACCAAAACTTCACAGGCTGGGTACGTGAAACCCACAATGTTTACGGCACCGACTCGGCCTACGGCACAGGTTGGAAGGGAAATCCTGGTCTCATCTCCGCCAGCGGACCACGAGGGGCTGCGGCGCGCCAACTTCCAGCGCCAAGGGGATAAGGGGGGGTGGGGTCTTGGGGAAAGTCGGAGGGCTCGCGGGGCACCGGAACCCCGGTTCTGGCAGCTACAGCAGTGACCCCACCCCACTTCGAAAGCATAGCTTTCCCCTCTCCCCCCCCCGACCCCAAGCCACGTTTCAAGAGAAAAACCAACGTTAAGCGTTCAAACGCGCAGCACGTTGGCCCTCGTGGCCGGTAATGGCAGTGAGTGGCGGGCGGGCAGGGTGCCCGGGGCCAGGGACCCGCCTTCCACTTCTCGCGGCCCGTTCTCGCTCCCAGGCCGGTTCCCGCTCCCAGCCCCGCGCCCGCGCCCAGGCCGGTTCCCGCGCCCAGGCCCGCTCCCGCGTCCAGGCCGGTTCGTGCGGCGTCCAGGCCGATTCCCGCGCGCAGGCCCGCTCCCGCTCACCTTCTGCTCCTCGGCCGAGGCCGCCTCAGGGACTTCCGCGGACATGATGCTCCCTGTGCAGACGAGACGCCGGGAAAAATGCGATTACCGGGTGGCCGAGGCCGCCCGCCTTCCAGCCCACTGCCCACCCAGCGCCCCGGCACCCCGGCCGCCGCCTTGTGACGAAACGTGCCCCCGAGGCGCCCGCGGCCACAGCTAGGACCCGCCGCGCCCCTCACCGACCTAACCCAGTTCCTCCACCTCGGCGACGTCTGAGCACTTCCCTTTTTTCCTTCAAAGGTCGCGGCTCGCGTCTGACGTCACTTCCGCCCGTGGGTACACCTCCTCCCAGGATTGCTGGGAAATGTAGTTCATTCATGGCGGCTACTCTTGATTCTTTCTGTCTAGGGGATTTTTGACTTTCTAATCTCCGCCCCGCTCCTATTTCCAAGTCCTTGCTTTCTGCTTTGCAGCCACAAAGGCATTGTTTTCTCCGAAGCTCTGCCTCTCCTAATTCGCCCCTATCATTTCGCTTCCACAATCCTTCTTTCCTTCTTTCTGAGCATCGGCATTAGGTCAGCTCCCCCTCAAATGGTTCTGGATGATTCCACAATGCCATACTGCATCATTACACAGGAATTACTACTTTATGACACCTTTTCTGCTCAGACAAGCCATACCAAGGAGGGGAGCTTGTCTCTATTTACTCATACCTCACTCCCAGTATCTTCCCAGACCTCAGTTTCCTCCAGTGACTGTGGCATTGATTTCCCCCAGTGACCTTGTTAATTTGTCAAGTCGCATGGCTTCACACTGAGTCTTCTATCTGACATCTGAATAGCTTATTCTACGGTTCTAAAGAAGTTATCCCTCAGAAACTTGAAAGTAAGATGGCCCTCTGGTAGAAAGGTGAAAGTAAATGAAGGCAAGAGTACTGAAGAAGAAGAGGAGCAATCAAAAAGATCCTATAAGACTTGATACTGAATTTGGAAACAAAAATACAGGAAGAACTGTGTTGTAATCTGATAAACACAGAATATTGTTAGATTCCTTTGGGACAAAGAAAGAGTTTAACAGTCAAGGAAATACTTAAAAGAGTTCAAGAAGCCAACTCTTGGACAAAGATGTCTTGATAAAGTCTCAAGGTGGACCAGTGGAAAAACTTCAGGAAATCTATGTATTTTTCATTCTATACTTACACTCATTTAACTAAAAATTTGCCTTCCCTTTAAGCAGAACTTCAGAGTGAAAGAAAAATGTACAAGTTAGGGTAATGAGCGTGTGTGTGTGTGTGTGTGTGTGTGTGTGTGTGTGTCTTGAGTAAAGGGAATCTGTTCCTGAAAGCCACAAGTTTGAATTACTGGGGAACAGACTTTGGTCAAGTGGAAAACTCAACAAAGGTTATGTATAGCCCATTATGGAGACCTGTCTGGGAAGCCATCCTTTCCCATGTAATAGTTAATTTGAGGCCTACCTCTGGGTCCTAACATACCAGCATTAAGAGAAAATGGGGGGCTGGGAAGGTGGCCCAGAGGTAGAGTGCTTGCCTTGCATGCATGAGGGCCCTGGGTTCAATTCCTCAGCACCACATAAGCCAGAAGTGGTGTTGTGGCTCAAGCAGTAGAGCACTAGCCTTGAGTTGAAGAGCTGAGGGAAGCACCCAGGCCCAGAGTTCAGGCCCCATGACTGACAAAAGATACAATAAACATAATGCATAATGGAAAAATGAATCTGCTGTTTGGGCCAGAACTAGAGACAGAAAAATTCTCAGTCTCTGCCTGTTTTGCCCATGGTAGCGCCACAATTTATAGAAGGCCTGAAACAAAAGCCTGGAAATGTGATTATAGAGACTTAGTTGTGGGCCCCAGTTATGGAACGGTGAGATAAGTCTCTCTTGGCACCACTGTCCAAGCTTTTTGGAGTTGGCTATTTTCACTCCTAGCATGTTGTTTCCTGTAGGGAGTTGGTATTTTAAAAGATTATTTTTGGACAAAATGTAAACTCCTAGAGCTCTCTTACAACACTGCTCTGCATCAACTTTGTAGCATGTTCAAAGTTGATTCCCAATATCTCATTTCTATAAACTCCCTTCCTTTGACCCCTAGGATGTAATTCTCAGTTTCTCTTCTTGACTATGTTTTCTCTTCCTTCTCATTTCGACAGGATCTCACTATGTAGCTTAGGCTGGTCTCCAACTTCCAATCCTTCTGCCTCATTTCCAAGTGCTGGGATTACAACTTTATTCCTCACCCCTTTACTTTGATTTAGCAGACTCTTTATGGGAGGACTCTCGATAATTCTGTCCTTGGATTCTCTCCAAGTTTTACAATCTGCAGATCACCTCCACTCTTCCAGCTTCCACCACAGTGTACATGATGGCTGTCCAATAGCACATTCTAAGATAATAGAAATATTCAAATACTCCAATACTGTAGCCACTAGCTAAATATCATTACTGAGCATTTGAAATGTGACTCTACAAACTAAGGAACTGTTTGATTTTTAAACCACCAGCCATGAGATTAGAATTCCTTGAATTCTCAACAGAGATTCTTATTATAAGTAAGCAGGTCTACCAACTGATGTTTAACCAAAGCTCCCTCTGGCTGCTACTGATGCATACATGCATGAGGTATTTTCTTCACTTGGGTTTTGGTAGGTGTATAAAAGCTTTTGAAAAGGTTAGGGTTTTGTTGTTTTTTTGAGGTTTAGTTACTCTTAGCTCAAGAGTTTATAGGAGGAGTAAAGGAAATGAGATAATGTTCAACCTCCCCTTTTCCAGTTGTATCATCAGCTACCCAGCAAACATCAGAACAGAGATGGTAAAAAACTGAAAAATCAATGAGAGAAACAAAGTGAGATACTGAGCATCAAAAATCCAAGTTTTTAGCCTGGCGCCAATGGCTCACACCTGTAATCCTAGCTACTTAGGAGGCTGAGATCTGCGGATTGCAGTTCCAAGCCAGCCGGGGCAGGAAAGTCCGTGAGACTCTTCTTTCCAATTAACCACCAGAAAACCAGAAGTGACGCTGTGGCTCAAGTGCTAATCTTCAACTGAAGAGTTCAGGGGCAGCATCTAGGCCCAGAGTTCAAGTCCCATGACCAGAAACAAAAATGAAAAAACAAAAAAATCAAAAACAAAAAACAAAATCCAAGACTTTGTAGCTGGAACAGGTTATTTTATTTTGTTATTATATGTCTAAGTGTTATTCTGTGCCAGTCCTGAGGCTTAAACTCAGGGCTGGGTGCTGTCCTTTAGCTTTTTCACTCAAAGCTGACACTCAACACTTGAGCCATTCTTCCACTTTCAACCTTTTGGTGGTGAATTTGAGGTAAAAGTCTCACAGTCTTTTCCTCTGCCTGGCCTGGCTTTGGACTGAGATTCTCAGCTTTCTGAGGCTAAGACCCCACTGGGGTCCCCTTGATACCTTTGCCAGGGTTGTCTTTGGACTGGGAAAAACTACCTTGCAAAAACTATCAGTCCCATATAGTTTGGGGCTGATTACAGGAGTGTCTCATCACACCTTGCTACTTAACTGATGTTTTGTTTTTTCAGTCATGGGGCTTGAACTCTGGGCCTGGGCACTATCCTTGAGCCTCTTCAGCTCAAGTGAATGCTCTACCACTTGAGCCCCAACACCACTTTCAGTTTTCTGGTGATTAACTGGAGGTAAGAGTCTCACGGATGTTCCTTTCTGAGCTGGCTTTGAACCACGATCCTCAGATCTCAGCCTCCTGAAAAGCTAGGATTACAGACATGAGCCATTGGCACCTGGCTTAACTGGTTACTTTTTTTTTGGGGGGGGGTCCGGTCATGGGGTCTGTACTCTGGGCCTGGGCGCTGTCCCTCAGCTATTCAGCTCAAGGCTAGCGCTCTACCACTTGAGCTACAGCGCCACTTCCGGTTTTCTGGTGGTTTATTGGAGATAAGAGTCTCATGGTCTCTCCTGCCCGAGCTGGCTTTGAACCGCGATCCTCAGATCTCAGCCTCCTGAGTAGCTAGGATTACAGGCGTGAGCCACCAGCGCCCGGCTTAACTGGTTATTTTTAAAAGAAATTTATGAGGCTTCTGTTTGCTCCTCCACAAATAGTAGCCACACCCCCATTACCTGCCAGGGAGTCTCTAAAGTAGCTGAGTAAAGTGTTTCCTCTTAATTCTAGACAGCTGACTTGCCCCTAGTCTACTAGATCTCTCGGATAGGGCCTACTATATGATGTGTGTTTTAGAACCTGTAGTCATAGATTTCTATTAGCCTTTTCAGTATTTCTGCCTGGTTGTCTACTCTGCTGTTGTCTATCGCCCCAACACAAACATCTAAAACCAAGCTTGTTGGAAATAAGGCCTCTGATACATTCAGTCAAATTATCACTCAACTTCCACTACAGTCCTGAAGAAGAAGTGTTGTGACAAGATTCCCTAAGTCTTCCCCTCCCCTGGAGGGTAGCTGAGGGGACGGAATGGAAACTGCCTGATGGTTAATTCACCTCGTCAAATAAATGTCTCCTCTACAAATAAAAGCCAGATACACATTTTTTCAGTTCTTCATATATTTACAATATAAATACTAATTTATTTTCAAAGTACATATTCTTTATTTTTTTTAACAACTTGAGAAAATTATCTAGCAAGGGACAGCACTTCAATGGAAAGCAGCTAAAGGTAGTAAGGAAAACGGAACTGTCTGGGGAACAAGAAATCCTGAAAGGACTACGAATGGGCATGAGGACGTGAGCTTGCACCAGGGCTGTGAAGCAGCTTATCTGCCTTGCTCTGCCATACAGCATGGTAAAGGGCTATTTTGCGAACCAGCAATGTAGCTGGGATGCTGTCAAAACCACACACCAGCAATATAAAAAATACACATGCTTGCATAGTGCATTAATCTTAAAGAAGCTCAACATTTCATTCTCATTCTCAATAGCTTAAAGAAATAGCGCTTAAAGCACACCACACGAAAATTAAAGACTTGTGCATATATTTCAGATTTAAACGTCAAGGTCAAAAATACACAGTATGATTTGACACAGGATTTGTGCTACATTAGAACACTAAGACAAACATCACTTCTGAGTATTAAGAAAAACATTAAATATTAAATAACAGAAATAAAATGTGTAAACACTAATCTAAACAGGGGGTTCTGCTATTGCAACGTGTCCAATGAAGTGGTTTCAACAGTACAAAAAGAATTAGGGCATGAGTGTTTCCAGTCTACTTGGAATTTGTGGGCCTCATTTTAGGAATCCTTAAAAAAAAAAAAAAAAAACTGGTCCAGAACAACAGGAAAGGATCTACTCTCCTGATTGTAAAATTGGTACACTCCATTTTAGGCTAAGATTTACTTCCAAACTTGGGTACTGAGCAAATACTTGAAATTGTTATTCCTTATCAACATCGTGGTGAAAACTGAGGATTTGTTGGCGATTCAGTGTAAGATTTGAGTTCATATGCAGCACCGCTATCAACCTCCATTGACTTCCTAGAGAACAGGAGCCGAACGTCTCGATGGAGGTAGATCTTTCCAGATTTAGAACTCTGGAACCTAAACAAATTTTTTAAAAAATTAATCATTTTTAAGAAACGAGACATTTTGTTTTTCCCTTTTTTATAGTATACATTAATAAAGGGGGGTTCATTTTGATAATTCCATACATGCATACACACACACACATTTTCAATACATTCACCTCCTTCCTGTTATCTTCCCTCAATTCTCCTCCCTCAGTCCCTCTACCTTCAAACAGTATTTGGTGGGTAGGCTTCATGTGCCATCCTCACACATAGATATGTAACATACTCTACTCCTCCTCAAACCCCAGTGCCATTTCCCTTCATTCACCCCCTTCTTGCTCATTATCCCCCAGACAGGCCAATTGACCTCATCCTATCCCATTGAGTCCTATCCTTCCTTTCTTATTTTACGTCTACGTTCCACAGATGAGCAAAGGCAAAATATTTGACTTTCTGAGCCTGGATTATTTTGATTAACATGATGATCTCCAATTCCATCAATCTTCCTGCAAATAACAGTAATTTAATTCTTCTTTTTGGCTGAATAATACTCTACTGTGTGTGTCTGTGTAACATTTCTTTTTTTTTAATTTAATTTTATTTTATTTGTGAACATACTGTACAGAGGGGTTACAATTACATGGGCAGGATAATGCGTACATTTCTTACCAAGCATTGCATCCTCCTCCATTGTTTCCCAGCCTCTCCCTTCCCCCCCATGTGTAACATTTCTTTATCCACTCATTAGCTGTTGGGTACCCAGGCTGATCTCCCAGCTGTTATAAATAGTGCTGAGTCCAGTGGTGTTTGTTTAATGAAGCTGGATGTGCCAATGTTTGGTGCACATGTTAACAATTATTATTTCCTCTTGATGGATTGTCACCATTATCAGCATGAAGTGATCTTAGTCTCTTCTGAGTAATTTTTATTTGAAGTCTTTTTATTTTTTATCAGATATGAACACTGCCTGAATGCTGATATAAATTCCTGCCTGCTTTTGAGTTTCATCCACTTGGAAAATCTATTTCCATCCTTTCACTCTAAACCAGTGTTGGTCATTATGAATGAAATGTATTTCTGTAGCCAAGTAGTTGGGGCTGCTTTCTTTTTTATTTGTCGGTCGTGGGGCTTGAACTCTGGGCCTGGGCGCTGTCCCTCAGCTCTTCAGCTCAAGGCGAGCGCTCTACCACTTGAGCTACAGTGCCACTTCCGGTTTTCTGGTGGTTTATTGGAGATAGTAGTCTCACGGTCTTTCCTGCCCAGGCTGGCTTTGAACCGCGATCCTCAGATCTCAGCCTCCTGAGTAGCTAGGATTACAGGTGTGAGCCACCAGCGCCTGGCTGGGGCTGCTTTCTTAACTCAGCCTGCAATTCTGTGAAACTGATACAATTAACATTTGATTACTATTGAAATTATGTAGCTTTCTTTTTTTTTGGTCGGTCCTGGGGCTTGAACTCTGGGCTTGGGCGCTGTCCCTGTGCTCTTCAGCTCAATGTGAGTGCTCTACTGCTTGAGCCACAGTGCCACTTCTGGTGTTCTAGTGGTTTATTGGACTTTCCTGCCTGGGCTAGCTTTGAACTGTGATCCTCAGATCTCAGCCTCCTGAGTAGCCAGGATTTAGGCGTGAGCCACCAGTGCCTGGCTGAAATTATGTAGTTTTTGTCTGTCATTTTGTCATTTTTGTGATGTTTTAGTCCTTCCTCACCCTTATTTGATAGTTTAGTGGGATATTGTCTTTATTTAAGGAACGGGTCTCTAAAACTCCTTTATATATTTATGGTCTTAAATGGTTAGTGCACATGCTTCTAACTTAAGTGCCTCTTCCTTTGTATTCCCCAAACATTCTTCACTGCCTTTCTCTCTTACCATGCTGAAAGGCTTTTTCCTATAAGTGAGTGTAGGTTTCCAATACCATCTACCTTTTCCTCCCTGATTCCAAAGCACATGTCCATTTCCTATCTCTGAGTGTCAACTTTTAGTTTACACCAGCCAATTATACTACTTTGGGCTTCTATACAAATTGATCCATTTCACATGAGCAAACCTCCCATGATCTGCCAGTAGATTAAAATGGATTCCACGCTGGTAAAGGACAGAAAATATTCATATTTTGAGAACACTCACTGCTATCATCATCAGTAGCTATCTAAATAAAAACCTAGTATCAAAAGTCAAGATAAAAACTAGCAGTGAGATGAAAATGGCTAGCAAAAAAGTGAGTATGAAACTGCTTCTATTCCCTGCTAATAATGTGATAATGCTAATATTTGTTACTCAGCATCTTTTGTTACTCAGAGTCTTTCTCTGAAATGCTGTGGATTGAACCTAAGGCACTGGGCATGCTAAGTAAAGAATTAGCCTTCCATCACACAAACTTACTAAACAGAAACTTAACATGACCTATTGTGCTTTCTTGTTTTCCATCAGCATAGCAGAAGTACTCTTTGGGTTTGTGGGTTTTATTTTTAAACTAGGTTAAAGATTTGGTGGTCAACTGCATGTTAAAATGGAGCAACTGATCACTTTGACTGCAGGAAGGAACTGTACTTTCTGCATCTTGACCCATCGTCAGAATTTCCTAGGCTAAACCAAGTGTAAGGGACACTGTTCTGGCTAGTTAATGTTTCAAAGAATAAACTAAAATTTTTAGACTTGTCCTAGTATGAAATATTTTCACATTAATTTTTTTTTTTTTTGCCATTCATGGTGCCTGCACTCTGGGTCTGGGCACTGTCCCTCAGCTCTTCAGCTCAAGGCTAGTGCTCTACCACTTGAGCCACAACACCACTTCCAGCTTTTTCTGCTTATGTGGTGCTGAGGAATCGAACCCAGGGTCTCATGCATGCAAGGCAAGCACTCTACCACTGAGCCACCTTCCCAGCCCCTCACATTAATTTTCAACAATAGTACCTCAGATGTATGAGGTAGCGTAGTAACCGTTCTGTATGTCGGATACTCTGTTTATTGACGCTTCTCTTCATTTCTTGCTTAACCGGAACAGAGAAAGTTCTTTGTCGTAGGAATGTCTGATGATTGGCTGGCATATCTCGTAAGTCATATATCACAACAAACATCTTCACCACAGTCTTATTAGGATTAAATAAGGTCTGAAGAAACAACACAAAAATTATTCTTTAAAAACAGTGATTTGTTGATGTACCTCAGAATAATTATGCTAATAATTAAAAGGGCTACTTAATAATTTAATCCCATTGGATATAATTCAATTTCAGAAGCTAAAATCAATGTTTTAGAAATTCATAAAATAACATTCAATAACCTTTCAATGTTTAACTTAATTTCTTACTTCACAATATTTTTTAATAAAATCCTGTAATAAAAGTCTTTAGTCACAAATTTTACATAACAATAGAAACTCCTTGTTCAGACTTTCAGAAATAGTTCCTCTAGTTTAAGCAAAATATATTTTTACTAGATTAAAAATTCTAGCTCAATTATTTCAAACATAAGCTTTAATGAAAATTTCAAATTTCTCCAAGTGTACTTTAATTTTTCACTTTTTTTTTTGTGCCAGTCCTAGCGTTTGAACTCAGGACCTGGACGCTGTCACTGAGCTTTTTTGTTTAAGGTTAGTACTCTACCACTTGAGACAGCTTTAGTTCCCGCTACTTTGGGCTTAACTGGAGATAAGAGTCTCACAGATTTTTCTGCAGAGACTGGCTTCAAACCACAACCCTCAGCTCTTAGCTCTAAGCCTCTCAGCTTATCGTAGCCACTAGCACCTGGCTTTTTCTCATGTCTTAAATAGTGAATAAGTAGAATTTTAAAAATACAAATAGAAGCTAAGTGAAAATTAGAATTTCTGTTTTTTGGGGGTCCGGTCGTGGGTCCTGAACTCTGGGCCTGGGCGCTGTCCCTCAGCTCTTCAGCTCAAGGCTAGCACTCTACCACTTGAGCCACAGTGCCACTTCTGGCTTTTTTCTTTTTGCTTATGTGGTGCTGAGGAATCGAACCCAGGGCCTCAGGAATGCAAGGCAAGCTCTCTACCACTGAGCCACCTTCCCAGCCCCAGAATTTCTGTTTAAGTTACATATAGTTAGTGTAAAAGTGATTATATATGTTTAAAAGAGGGACTTATCTTTTTGAAACTTGTATTTAAGTGTATTAAAATAAAGCTCATGATTATGAGACCCAAAGTCAGCTAATACTTGATATCCTGATTATATGCTTTCAGCATACAATTGTTGCATTCAGCAATACTAGTTTTTTTATGTTTCATATTTTATTTTATTTTTTATTGTGAAAATACTGTACAGAGGGGTTACAATTACATGGGCACGATAATGAGTACATTTCTTATCAAGCATTGTAGCCTCCTCCCAACATTAGTTTTTGTTTTTAAATCATCAGTATCATAGGCCAAAGTATGTATTTTTAATGAAGATTGAAGTGAATTTAATTGGTACTTGGCTATAAATTGAAGGAATTTTACTTTTAAAAAATATAAAATTTTAAACAAAACCCCAAGCTGCTGATCTGACTTTAACCAAATTACCAACACATCACTAGGTAACTTGGTGCCCGTGCTTTCAGAAGCTCATCCGTGGCACTGGACATCACTCACTGAATCAAAATGAGAAATACATCAATATTATGATCCAAATCTTGTAACCACAACAACTAGCAAGCCAGGAGTTCAATCCATGATTATGAATGATTAAGCTTTATAACATACCCAGAGTTTATACTGAAAATTAAGCAGAAAAGCTGACAGTGTCTAAAGCAAGAGGCCAGTATACTGCCTCAGGGATAATGACTAGTGACTTTAACTCTCAAGTGCTATAGAGCCAGAGGCAATCCCCGCAGGATTCAAGATCTGTTTACCAACAGATCAGGCCTTAAGATGCAGTGATTCTTTCTCAGTAAATACCTACGTGTAGGGGAATATTTCACTTCAGTGAGATATGAAATAAACAAAGGTATTGGGACTTGACAAACACTGGACAAAGTTCTTATAAAAGCCTTGCTGGCCTAGATCAGATCCTGAATGTAAGGAACCAGCTTCAACTAGGCTTTCAGACTGCAAACAACTAGGCAACAGATTCAGTGTTTGCAGACTGGAGCTCAGACTTGGAGATAAACACAATTGCAAACAGGCCTTGATACTAAATCATGCTTTGGGAAGCCTAGACCAAGGATAAGAAATAACTGCCCAGGGTGACCATGGTTCTCTGGTCAATACTGAAATTAAAACTCTCATCAATACTCAAACTAAAAGCAATGATGCTCTGCTGTGTCATCTGTCAGACCAACATTTCTACTTAGATCTGTTTTAACAATCATTAAATAAGGTGTAACATCTTGAGTCCCAAGTTTTCCTTGGCAATACTAAGGTCTCCTTTTAAATAGGTGAAATCTCAGTATGCCTTACTATATTGAATATAAGACACTGGTAATGGTATGTTTTGTTAGGTTCTAATTATATTGAACATATATCCCTTTATTTTATCTTATGCAAATGGTCATGTACTGTTTTTCTCATGTACTATTCATCTCCAACTATTTTCCTTTTATAGAAGTCCCCAAATGTTCATTCCTGGGGCAGAGCATGGACACTCCAAAGAAAGCTGCAGCCCCACTGTTACTTACCAAAGTTGTTGCAGCAGCAGGAGCAGGAGAAAGGGCTAAGTTCTATATGTATGTGAGAGAATGATTATTGCAATTGTAGGCTATAAAACACATACCACTTGTATTGTTCCTGAAGGAGGTACTCGATAACCCCTTTTACCAAGGGACTCTAAAGTAATCACACCCTTGAAATAAAAGAAGACAAATTGAGTACACATGCATATAAATTACTAAAATAAAAATAACACACCATGTAATTTAAAAAGATTCAAAATTCTATTTCTAGGGAAAGATATTAAAAATACATTAATAAGATATATTTTATGAATATGAAATAGTGAGATTTCCAACTGTAAAGAAACAATTTACTATTCTTCCTGGATATGTTAAAAACAAGTATTATATAAATGGCTATGCTCCTGAAAATTTCCATTGATATATAAAGGCAAGAAAGTTTCTTAACCAAAAAATTAAGAAGGTTACAGGAGTATTCCTGAGTCTTAGGGGAGAGGGAAAATATAGAAACAAAACAATTCATTGGTCTTTGGACATATAAAAAGTAATAAGTATGAAAAGATCTAAGACTTGACTGAAAATGAAGAAATTCCTTAGTCAGGGAGTTAAGCTATATATCTGAGTTTCTGAATACAAAACAAAATAAAAATGACATTTAAAAAAAAGAAAAAAATAAAAGTTTGGGACTCAATGGTTCCTGCCTGATAATTCTACAAGAGATATTCAAAGTAAACAGTAGAAAATCAAAGTTTAACCAGCATTTGTGGTTTGTTCTATCCAAAAGCCATATAATTCCATTTTCTGAGGACTAATGTTTCTTGAGAAATAAGCTTAGCTTCCTTAACCTAGATCGTAGGCTTTTGAGTTTTCACTTAATGATGATTTTAAGAATCTAAATTGATGTTAAATCAGAACACAATGGATTGAAAGTCTAAGAGCTAAGATTTGAGTCAAAGTGAAAGCTAAATTGGGGTCTTTTCACTAGAGAAATCTAAAAGAGAAAATTAGAAGTACTTAGTCTGGTACTCAAAGAATGGTCCTCAAACCAGCTTCATCAATACCACATTTGAGTATTTTAGAAATGCAGAAGGTTGTAAGGAGGCTGAGATCTGAGAATCACGGTTTCAAGCCAGCCCGGGCAGAGAAGTTTGTGAGACTCTTATTTCCAATATACCTCTAGAAAACCAGAAGTGGTGCTGTGGCTCAAGTGGTAGATTACTTGCCTTGAGCTGAAGAGCCGAGGGACAGCACCGAGGCCCAGAGTTCAAGCCCCAAGACCAACCAAAAAAAAGAAAGAAAAAGAAAAGGAAACAAAAGAAATGCAGGAGGTCTGGCCTTCCTCCATCATATACAAACTGTAATCTGCAATTCAGTAATACTCTAGATAAAGCATATGTACATTAAAGTGTGAGAAAACTTTCAGCATGTGGAACAGTTGTTCTGAGGAGTCCAAAACATAGGAGGAAAATATAAATTTTAAACAAGAGCAGTTTAAATTGAATGTATGAAAACCTCAGTAACTGGGATAACCAAATGCCTTCAGTTAGTATGATAATTCTTAAATAATGAATAATGATAATTCTTTACATAATGAAGGCTGATTTTACTTACTAAAACAGGAGTAATACTTTTCTTTCAATTAGTTAAGGTAGTTAAGTAAAATGATTGCATGTTATACACATACATTTTATGGTTCTATCACTGTATACCAAACATGCCAACCTTATGTAAATATAAAACAGGACTGTCCCATGAGGTGTCATTATTTGGTGGATTTAGAAATCAGACTACTTGGGAAATAAAGAGTGGGCAATGGTGAAGGTGAGTAACTCAACTCTAAGTATGCAGCACCTAATAGTAGAACACTATCGACACATTAACATTGGAAAATGATGATGGAAATGGACACTGAAGAAATGGAAATGGAGCCGGGCACAGGTGGCTCATGCTTGTAATCCTAGCTACTCATGAGGCTGAGATCTGAGGATCGAGGTTCAAAGCCAGCCCAGGCAGGAAAGACTGTAAGACTCCTATCTCCAATAAACCACCAGAAAACCGGAAGTGGCGCTGTAGCTCAAGTGGTAGAGCACTCGCCTTCAGCTGAAGAGCTGAGGGACAGCGCAGCACCCAGGCCCAGAGTTCAAGCCCCACGACCAACCAAAAAAAAAAAAAAAAAAAGAAATGGAAATGGTTCCTGAAACAATGAAAGTAGAGAGTTTTGGAAAGGGAAGGAGGATGATGGAGAGTAATGGGGAGTGAGCCTATCAGGTTTATCATACATATTGTTTATGACAAGTATATTATTTTATAACTATATGGACACGTCAAAATGAAACTCCCTTGTACTAATTGATATTAATAAAAAAAACTCAACAAAAATGTAACTAGTCATCAACAAACTGAATCCTTAACCAAAACATAATTATACATTAATACTTTCTCTAACACAATTTGATATACTTTTCTAGTGAAGAACCACACTTCAAGTACAAGTAGATATAGATATTTACATGAAAAATGATAATGATATATAATACCCTTCCCTATTCTTCCCAGTCCCAGAAAAAAAGGCAAAATATACAAAAACGAATAGCTACTTTTATCATCATATTGCTAAAGACCACATATTACTATTGTTTCTCCTTTCACTCTAAAACACATACAGAAAAGCTACAGGTTAGAAAACAGTAATAGTAATTATATCAATTTAGAAGGAAAGACAATAGATTTTTTAAAAAAAGAATCTTTTAAGTTTAAGGTTACACTTTAAAACAGTTCTTAATACTGTTAGGCCAGGAGTAACATTGGAAAACTAGGAATTTTATTTAGAAAGGGATTGAGAAATTATATATAACTGTATTATTAGTTTAATAAGTAGAAAACTTAACAAGCATATGCTGATTTGGTTAATCATAATAAAAAAGTAACCATATACAGCCTTGTCAAGCTGGCAAGAATGCAAGTGATTCCCTAACTTTGCCTGGGCATACCTGCTTTTATGTATTTCTGCCTCATTAGACTATGCAATAGTTGCTTGAAAGCAAAGGGTATCATTAACACTTGGAGAACTTTTTTAAAAAATTAATGTAGTGCTGAGAATCAAACCCAAGGCCTTGGTCATTATGGAAAACACTCTACCACTGAGCTACATTCTCAGAAAGTTAAGAGAACATTTTTATCACTGACTCCAAGTTAGGGAGTCAAAGTGAAAACCTTATTTGATACTCTGTTTTGTGTGATTATTGAGAACATTTTACAGACCTTCACGTCCTGCCATTTCTCCCTCTTTGTGCACTGAAAAGGAGCAGATGAATATATATATATATATATATATATATATATACATACATATACACTCCAGGATTCAGAATCATTTTTGCACTTGAAAGCATATTTTACCTACAATCCATTAGGATAAGAGAAATGGGAAAGATAAAATCAGACCTCTGAAGCTTAAGAGTGTATTATAATCCTCAAAGCTCTTACTTTCCTCTAAGCCATTAGCTTGAGTCATAAACAGCTCATTTGCTCTAGAACTCTAGGATTAGGAAAGAATGGGCCACAGATGAGAGAGTAGAAAAAGGATCTCACAGAAGGCTTAGTTCACCAGACTCTTCTCTAAACTCTTCTGAGCTAAAGAACACACAGGAATGCAACCCTAAAGTAGCCACGAAGCACTTGAGATTTGTGTTGGAGTAGTACAACATGATTGTAGTATCACTAATCTGTAAATCACACAGAAGCAAGTAAATTACAGCAACATTCTCAAATGTAAAAGACTTTACTGCTGCTTAATCAGAAAGAAGCTACCAGGTAATATTTTGGTATATTAGTCTGTATTTAAGAAATACATACTTTTGATCATAATCCCCTAAGTGGATTGATCCAGGAAGAAAAGGATAATTTTTTAAAAAATACTTGCCATATAAGGAGACGGAGCATTGTCATCTGAAACACTGTAGAATGACACTTCAACTGGAAGAGTCAAGTGCGTGGGACAGAAAATACCACTTGCTCCTACCTCGGCAGTGAAGCCATCAACTACTCCGAGGGGATCTAAACGGTAATTCAAAACAGATTCCTGGGAGACAAAGCAAAATAGTTGGTGTAAAAAACAACAGAAAAGCTAAGTCATTCATTTCATGTTCTGTTTAAATAGACCAGGAACTGCTGGGCATGGTGGTTGGTACATACCTGTAATCACAACACACTTGGTAGGTTGACTCAAGACAAGTTACAGGTTTGCATGATAGTTTAGAACTCGAATTTATGTCCTCAATATGTCTTTCTTTTTTTCTTATTAATTAAGTGGCTTTACCACTTGAGACAGAACGCCACTTCCAGTTTTCTGGTGGTTTATTGGAGGTAAGAGTCTCATGGACTTTCCTGCCAGGGCTGGCTTTGAATCTTTTTTTTTTGGAGGGGTGGGTCTGGTCGTGGGGCCTGAACTCTGGGCCTGGGCGCTGTCCCTCAGCTCTTCAGCTCAAGGCTTAGCGCTCTACCCCTTGAGCCACAGCGCCACTTCTGGCTTATGTGGTGCTTTTCGCTTATGTGGTGCTGAGGAATCGAACCCAAGGCCTCAGGCATGCAAAGCAAGCACTCTACCACTGAGACACCTTCCCAGCCCTGGCTTTGAATCTTGATCCTCAGATCTCAGCCTCCTGAGTAGCTAGGATTACAGGTGTGAGCCACTGGCGCCCGGCTTAATTATATATTATATAATAAATATCAATAAACTCACTCAGTAAATATCCTCTGTTCATTTACTGCAGAGAGCATTGCATTTATTATGAAGAAAACATATGGGTTAGTCCCAGAACTTCACTGCATTTTTTAAGTAACTTGAAAAATGTGTGCATATCTATACAAATAGAATCTTCAGTAAACAGTATATAGATCTTTTCCCTATCTTCCCTTACCTAAGGTTTTTATATACAGACTGCTTCCCCAGCCCAATAAGGATAGTTTAAAAGATAGATATATTCAAGAAGAGAGTTTAAGTGGGGTGCCAATGATTCATGCTTGTAATCCTAGCTACTTAAGAGGCTGAGATCTGAGGATCATGGTTCAAAGCCAGCCCGGGCAGAAAAGTCTGTGAGACTCTGATCTCCAATAAACCACTAGAAAACTGGAAGTGGTGCTGTGGCTCAAGAGGTAGAGCTCTCGCCTTGAGCTGAAGAGGGCAGGGACAGCACCTAGGCCCAGAGTTCAAGCCTCACAACCAACAAAAAAAAAAAAAAGAAGAGAGTTCAACATCTTTGAACTGATACCACCCTTAAAAAGAAAATGGAAGCCGGGCACTGGTGGCTCACGCCTGTAATCCTAGCTACTCAGGAGGCTGAGATCTGAGGATCGCGGTTCAAAGCCAGCCCAGGCAGGAGAGACCATGAGACTCCCATCTCCAATAAACCACCAGAAAACCAGAAGTGGCGCTGTAGCTCAAGGGGTAGAGCGCTAGCCTTGAGCTGAAGAGCTGAGGGATAGCGCTCAGGCCCAGAGTTCAAGCCCCATGACCAACCAAAAAAAAAAAGAAAATGGAAAAGAGATTTAACTCAAGATATTTTTTTAAATTTATATTAACATTTTGAAAGGCAGTCTAAAAGTTAAAATGATTATTAAAGCATATAAAACCACAACTAAGACAAACCTATATATTTCACATTTTTCTTTTTTTTTATTTCACATTTTTCATTCTTTTTTGTTTTTGTTTTTTTTTTTGGTGCTGGTCTTGAGGCTTGAACTCAAGGCCTGGGTGCTGTCCCTGAGCTTTTGTGTTCAAGGCTGGTACTCTAGCACTTGAGTCACAGCTCCACTTCTGGCTTTTTGGTAGTTAATTGGAAAGAGTCTCCTGGACTTTCTTGTCCAGGCTGGCTTCAAATTAAGATCCTCAGATCTCAGCCTCCTGAGTAGCTAGGATTACAGCTATGACCCACAAGCACTCAGCTTTGTTTTTTTAAGGTAAGATTTTACTATGTACCAATCCTCCTGCCTCAGCCACTCAATTGTGCCATGATGTCTGGCAGTTAAGTTGATTTCAAATTAAATAAAAACAGCTAAACTCATGATATACTTGATTCTATGCAGAAGTAACCATAATAAAATACGATCTAAGCTGGGCACCAGTGACTCATGCCTATAATCCTAGCTATTCAGGAGGCTGGGATCTGAGGATCATGGTCCAAAGCCAGCTCAGCCAGGACACTCTGTGAGACTCTTACCTTTAATAAACTACTCAAAAAAGCTGGAAATGGCACTGTGGGTCAAATGGTAGACCGCTTGCCTTGAGCAAAAGCAGCTCAGAGACAACAGCCAGATCCAGAGTTCAACCCCCAGGGCCAGCAAAAATAAATAAATAAATAAAAATCTACACGTATCAGAGAACCATTTGATTTGGCAAATCAATCTCCTTGATCATAAAGAAACTGCTATGAATATTACCTTTTACCATTTCACCATCTTGTATCTTTCTTAAGATCGCAAAGCCATTTTTTAAAGAGATGGAGTATTGTTTTGTTGCCCAAGATGCTTCTGAACTTTTGGCTAAGTCAATCTCCCATCTTAGCCTCCTGAGTAGCTGAGACTATAGGTATATGCCATCACATCTGGCTACTAAGGCCAATTTTACCAGATAAGTCACTCTTCTTGGTTACAGAGTAATAGATATTTGCCATGCTGACTGATTCCTCCACTAGCTATCCACTTCTAATATATCAATACCAAAAATTCTCTACTTTTCCTTCTAATAAAAAATCAAACAAAAAACAGTCAAGGCTTTATAAAAAGATGATTTATTTTCTTTCCTTTTTATATTAAAGACATAAATAATAGCCATGATCTAGTTCAAGAAACTCCAACACTTGCTTGGCGCTGGTGGCTCACGCCTGTAATCTAGTTACTCAGGAGGCTGAGTCTGAGGATCACGGTTCAAAGCTAGCCCAGGCAGGAGAGTCCGTGAGACTCTTATCTCCAATAAACCACTAGAAAACTGGAAGTGGCACTGTAGCTCAAGTGGTAGAGCGCTCGCCTTGAGCTGAAGAGTGCAGGGACAGTGTTCAAGCTCCACGACCGACCAAAAAAGGTACAAGATACTCCATCACTTAAATTCATTCCAAAACATATTACCTCAAAATTTCCTAGGAGACTGAGACTTGTTATAGGTGGAGCACTAGAACTCAAAAAAGGTTTTTCATGAATATCAGGAGCATCTTCAATATTTAAACATGGTTGAGCACTATTAAAAAACAAAACAACAAAAGAACATATTAACAATATTTTCTTAATTGCTTTTATACAAAACTAAATTAGAATACAAATAATTTCAGCCAAATTAACATAATAAAATTAAGGTCACCAAAATTTAAAACACAAACATGTGTGTGTGTGTGTGTGTGTGTGTGTGTGTATGTGTATGTGTACATCTTATAGGTTTCAAGATGGTTTCATATAATGGAAGCTATTGCAAATACTTCGGAGGCTGACATCTGAGAAATACAGTTCAAAGCCAGACCTGTCAGGAACGTCTGTAAGACTCTTATCTCTAATTAACCACCAGAAAACTGGAAGTGGAGCTGTGGTTCAAAGTGGTAGAGTCACAGCTTTGAACAGTTAAGCTCAGGGACATCTCCCAGGCCTTGAGCTCAAACCCCATAACCTACAAAAAAAAAAAAAAAGCAGGGGATATGGATATGGTTCAGTTGTAGAACCTCCAGACTCAACCCCAAGCACTCTTTAAAAAAAAAAAGTAGTATTGGGGGCTGGGAAGGTGGCTCAGTGGTAGAGTGCTTGCCTTGCATGTATGAGGCCCTGTGTTCAATTCCTCAGTACCACACAAACAGAAAAAACTGGCAGTGGTGCTGTGGCTCGAGTGGTAGAGTTCTACCTTTGAGCTGAAGAGCTGAGGGACAGCACCCAGGCCCAGAGTTCAAGCCCCATGACCGACCAAAAAAAAAAAATAAGTAGTATCATTTGCCAATATGGAGAAAACAAAGGACTAAAAGGTAGAGGTTAGCTGGGTGCTCATAGCCCATGCTTGTAATCCTAGCTATTCAGAGGAGGCTGAGATCTGAGGATCACTGTTTGAAGTCAGCCTGGCCAAGAAAGTTTGTGAGACTTTATCTCCAATTAACTAGCAAAAAGCCAGAAGTGGAGCTAAGGCACAGATGGTAGAGCGCTAACCTTGAACAAAAAATCTCAGGAAAAGTGCCTAGGCCATGAGTTCAAGCCCCACAACTGGCAAAAATAAATTAATTAAAATAAAAATACAAGGTAGAGATTAATGACCAGGAGTATATAAATCTATTTAAGTTTTAAAAATAATATTTATAGAGGCCTGGAAGGTGGCTCAGTGGTAGAGCGCTTGCCTTGCATGCCCGAGGCCCTGGGTTCAATTCCTCAGCACCACATAAGCAAAAAGCAAAAAGCCAGAAGTGGAGTTGTGGCTCAAGTGGTAGAGTGCTAGCCTTGAGCTGAAGAGCTGAGGGACAGCACCCAGGCTCAGAGTTCAGGCCCCTCGACCAGACCCCCCCCAAAAAATAATAATGTTTATTAGAATGACTAAAATTGCTGTAGCTGACTGTCTCAAGGACTTTCATTCTTATCTTTAGTAATTTTTGCACATGCAGTATCATATTGAAAATATGAAGATTTTGATTTTTAGACTCACTTATTGTCAGAGACTAGAATTTTGTGAAATTCTATTTTGGGTACATAGATATATTTTAAGATTACTACCTTCTCGATGAAATGCTTTTCAGACGCAGCAATGAAGAATCCAGATCAAAGCAACCTGATTGTGTTTTTCTTTGAGGAACCTAAAGTCAAAATAATCATAAATAAAAGTTATGCAGCATACTTTTAAAGTAAGATTTCATACATAACAGTGTATTTCAAATAATGTTATTATTATTATATTGTTGTTGGTGGTGGTCATGGGGCTTGAACTCTGGACCTAAGCACTGCCCAGAGTGTTTCAGCTCAAGGTGAGTGCTCTACCACTTGAGCCACAGCATCACTTCCGGTTTTCTGGTGATTAATAAGAGAAAAGAGTTACTCACTGATTTTCCTGCCAGGCCTGGTTTTGAACCGCAATCCTGAGATCTAGGCCTCCTGAGTAGCTAGGATTATAGGTGTGAGCCACCAGTGCTGGGCTATTATGTATTTTTCTTATCTTCTAATTTTATTCACTAGCAAAAAAAGATAGCTAATGGAAGTATTTTTACTAGGTTTCAAGTTTTTAAAAAGTAATTTCTTCTAAAACTAGATAGTACATGGAATCTCAATATATATGTAATAAATATAAGACTTTCACTTTTTTTTTCTTCTTTTTTTTGGTCAGTCATGGGGCTTGAACTCAAGGCCTTGTCACTATTCCTGAGCTTTTTTTTTTGCTCAAGGCAACTACTCTACCACTTTGAGTCACAGCACTACTTCTGGTTTTCAGAGATAAGAGTCTCACAGGCTTTCCTGCTGGGGCTGTCTTCAAATCACAATCTTCAGATCTCAGCCTCTGAGTAGCTAGGTTTACAGGTGTGAGGGTACCAGCACCCAGATATCACTTCTTGATATATTAGTGTACTCTCAGGGGGAGAAGGTGGGGAATACTGAAAGCTTTCCAATAAATAGGGAAATGGCCTGGGATCTTCCAACTCTTTCTTCTTTTGGGGACCCCAACTGCCACACTCCCAAGAAGCTTAAGGCTTATAAGAACACTGAATTTCAAATATCATTGTTATGTATCAGATTATACTGAAAACAAACCAACACTTACCCCCCAAAAGAAAGAAGAACAAAACATAAATTAAAGGTTAAAGAAATTCATAGTAGAAAAAAGTTAAAAGGATTTGCTTCTAGAATTAAGTATGTCAGATATTTCTGACACTCTGATCTAATTGGAGACTAAGAAACAGATGAAAAATGCACACATCAACATTTTTTAATGTTATATACAAGTGCTTTATACCTATTTTTTAGACACTTTCTAAATATTTTCTAAATAGTGCTTTCTGTATATTGTCTACTCACTTGTTGTATCTCTATTGATCTCTATAAATCTTTGTTCTGGGGGCTGGGAAGGTGGCTCAGTGGCAGAGCACTTGCCTTGCACGCATGAGGCTCTGTGTTCAATTCCACAGCACCACATAAGCAAAAAGCCGGAAGTGGCACTGTGGCTCAAGTGGTAGAGCGCTAGCCTTGAGCTGAAGAGCTGAGGGACAGCGCCCAGGCCCAGAGTTCAGGCCCCACGACCGGACCCCAAAAAAATAAAATCAATCAATCAATCAATCTTTGTTCTGTTCTACTTTGTCCATCAGTATGTGCATGTGAATGCACACTTCAAATGTACTATTTCTCTTATCTAGCATTTTTATTTAGTTCTTTTTGAAATCTGTATGTTCATCTTTATCTCTTTTGTTTATTCATTCATTGACCTAATCTTGCTATGTCGCCCAGACTCCCTTGAAGTTAGAATTCTCCTGCTCCAGCACTGAGTTCTAGGTTTATAGCTAGATATATGCCATCAGGCTCAGCTTCATTGTTTCAACTTAATTCCTTGTCTTCACATTCATTTTGAATATTTTAACTTTTTGTTTGTATTTATTTTTCTGTGGTACTGGAAACTGAACTTGGGGCCATGTGTGTTCCCCAATCCTTTTGCTTCCCTATTCGTTTTTCCAGATAGAGTTTTGTGCTTTTATATCAGCTTACCTCAGACTACAACTCTCCTACCTCTGCCTCCTAGGTAGCTGGGATTACAGGTATGTACCATCATGTACATCTTGCTCTTAAAATTTTTTTGTGTGATATTAGGGTTTGAACTCAGGGTCTCAAACTTTGCTAGGCTGGTGTTCTACACGTGAGCCATACCCCTAGCCCTGTTTTTTTTTTTTTTTTTACTGTGAATCGTAAACTGTTTTTCTGTGAACTTTTCTTCCTGGGTAGGTCTTGAACCTAGATCCTTCCTCTATATGTTTCCTGAGTAGCTAGGATTACAGGTGTGAGGCAACAACACCTAGTTCCTACAACATTTTTAAAAGAATTACTTTTAACTCCTTAAGAGGCCACTCTGACAACAAGGTCCTACATGTGATTTTTTTTTTTTTGTTCTTGTTGATTCTTTAAAAGTTTTTACATAGGGCTGGGAAGGTGGCTCAGTGGTAGAGCACTTGCCTTACATGCATGAGGCCCTGGGTTCGATTCCTCAGCACCACATAAGCAGAAAAAAAGCAGGAAGTGGTGCAGTGGCTCAAGTGGTAGAGTGCTAGCCTTGAGCTAAAGAGCTGAGGGACAGTGCCCAGGCCCAGGGTTCAGGCCCCACAACCGACAAAAAAAAAAAAAGTTTTTACATAGTGGCAGAGTGCTTGCCTTGCATGTATGAGTCCCTGGGTTTGATTCCTCAGCACCACATAAGCAGAAAAAGCTGGAAGTGGCTCTATGGCTCAAGTGGTAGAGTGCTAGTCTTGAGCTGAAGAGCTGAGGGACAGCACCCAGGCCCAGAGTTCAGGCCCCATGACTGACAAAAAAAAAAAAAAAGTTCTTACATAGTTCTTTTCTTTGATATCATCTTCAATAAGTGTCAATTGCTTTTAAAAAGTTGTTAGTAGGGCTGGGATGGTGGCTCATTCGTAGAGTGCTTGCCTTGCATGCATGAAGCCCTGGGTTCAATTCCTCAGCACCACATAAGCAGAAAAAGCCAGAAGTGGATCTGTGGCTCAAGTGGTAGAGGGCTTACCATGAGCTGAAGAGCTCAGGGACAGCGCCCAGGCCCAGAGTTCAGGTCCCAGGATCAAAAAAAAAAGATCCCACTCTCCCTGTCTCTTTCAAGTCACTCATCCAGTGTTTCCCTAATTGTAATTCCTAAGGTTCCCAAATAAAGTTCTTTAAAGTTGTTAGTAAATCAGGTACCAGTGACTCACATCTGTAATCCTAGCTACTCAGGAGGCTGTGATCTGAGGATTATACTTCAAAAACCAGTCCAAGCAGGAAAGATTGTGAAACTCTTATTTCCAAATGACCACCAGAAAACTGGAAGTGGAATTGTGGCTCAAAGTGGTAGAGTGTGGAATTGTGGCTCAAAGTGGTAGAGTGCTAGCCTTGAGCGGAAAAAGCTCAGGACAGGGTTCAAGCTCTGAGTTCCAACACACACACACACACACACACACACACACACACACAGTGTGATACACACACACACACAGTGTAATAGTGGGTAGGGGATACTTACAGGACTCAAGCCCTGAGTTCCAACACACACACACACACACACATATACACAATGTTTTAGTGGGTAGGGGATACTTACAGGACTCAAGCCCTGAGTTCCAACACATACACACACACACACACACACACACACACACACACACACACACA